AAAAAAAATTTCTATCGCTTACCCCATGTCCAAAGGACACATAATGGAGTTGTGGCGCCAAATGGCCCTGGAGGCACCGTATAGATGCGAATCCTGGCTCTGCCACTTAGTGGCAAGTTGCTTCATCTCCTTGTGCCTCACTTTCTCTTCTCTAAAAGGAGGGTAACAACAGCACCTACCTCCTGGCGTAGTGAATTCATGGAGGGCGCTTAGAATTGTGTGTGGCACAGAGGGCGTCAACTACGAGGAGTCCTAACAAAATCACCTCATCTGATTCACCGTGAAATGGTGGCCGGGGAGAGTCCTACTCCCACTTCACAGACAGGAACTCTGGGGCTCACGAGAGTGATGTGACTTGCCCCCCAAACAGTGGAGTCTGGCATTAAACCCTGTTCATCTGCCTTAAAGGTACAGCGGTCCCATCCTTGCACCCTGATCTTGGCAGGCTGATCATCCTTGTAGGCTCCCTTCCGCCTCCTGGGGGCCCCACCCAGGCCCCACCTGTCGCCAGTTGGAGGCCTCAGGTGTGTAGAACTCCAGAGCGAGCAGCCCGGCCCGAACCATGTTGAGCCAGTTCACGTAGATCACGTCCTCCGCATCAGCCCCCTCAAAGCCAAAGATCCTGTGAGAGGGGCAGGCAGGTGGCAGGATGGTCAGAGGCTACCCTGTCCCCATTCCACCGGCCGCCACCACCCACCCTCCATGCCCCCAGGGCTGGCCACTGCACCGGGACAGCCCACCCCTCGGCTTTGCTGCTCTTACTCCAGCACTTCCGGGTGGAGACAGAGGTAGAGGCCCACGCTCTCAGCCCGGCACTCTTCGTAGCTGGAGGCGATGGTGCTGAACTTGCTGTCCCAGGTCTCCCCGCTCCGATACCAGCTCTGAATCTGGAAAAAGAGCTCCACTGTCAGGCTTAGGGTGGCCACTGCCCCACCCCACCTGTGCCCACCCTCCCAGCACCCTGGGGCTCTACGGAGGCCTCCCTCACCTGCTCGCCCGTCTCTGGGTTGATCACTGTCTCCTGGTCAAAGTTGAATGCTCCTTTTTCATCCTGCAGAACACAGGGTGGGTGAGGGAAAGGCGCCCCCAGCTGGATCCAGGCCTCCAGCGCCAGAATCCACGGGCCCAGAGAGTGGCTCAGGAAGGCAAGTGGGAGCGCGGGAGCAGCAGGTCCGTCCACACACTGATGCCTGCACAGCCCTGAGCCCTGTGACGCTGGCTGCCTCCTCAGAGCCGTCAGGAACGCGAGAACCAGAGATGCCTACCCCACCGCACAGAGAGGAGAACCGAGGGCCAGACAGTCGAGGAACTTGCCCCAAGTCCTGTGAGGACCCAGATCTGGTGTCTCCAGACCCCAGTAGGAGATGCTCCAATGGGTGGGCCAGAGAGCCCAGCTGTGCCCACCACGGGCTTCTGGTCCGGCTCCTGGCACTGCCACTCCCACTGCACGGCACGCGTCTTTCATGCAGCGTCCTTTTAATCCTCACAACCATCTTCCGAGGACAGTGCTACTATTATCCCACTTCACAGACGAGGAAACTGAGGCTTGGAGCCTAAGAGCCCCAAACTGGAGTCAGAGCACACAGCCTCCGTGGACACTGTCTCTCAACACTAATACCTGTTTGCTGAGGACCTACTGTGTGTCAGGGATTACTGTCTTCACCTTTACTCCTCACAACAGCCCACACAGCAGGGGTCAGGAATCTCATTTTACAGATGGGCCAACTGAGGCTTGGTGAAGGAGCTGACTTATCCAAGGCCACACACAGCCTGGATAAAGTCTGGACAAGGCGTTTCGCCAGCCTGCTGCCTCAGCAGCTGTTCTGTGCATCCTCCTGACCCCGGGGCCCAGTTCCAGCCCTTCCCCATCCAGGGAAGCAGCCCCACACCCCAAGAAGCAGGGCCCACAAAGAACCCCGCCCTCGGAAGGGAGGGGCCACACCCCACCCCACTTCTGGTCATCTCCATGCTGGGGGTCCACATCAGCTTTTCAGCCCCCCATAAAACGTTGTCTGTGTTTCCATATTCCCTGGGTAGGTGTGGAGGGGACTCCAGTCACGCTGGCTGGCTGGCAAGAAGGGGCTGCTCTGGGGAGAAGTGGCTCCCTACAATACCTGGAAAAGCCCAGGCTCCACAGAACAGCAGCGCAAACAAAGATAGCACTGCTGCCTCAGATGGGAGCACCCAGAGATGCCCCCTACCCCCAGTGTCTGTCCTGGGGCTGCTGGAGCCACGCCCTTAGGGTGTGCTTCCTTAGCCTGAGCCAAGCAATTCCTCCTGGTCTGGGGAACAGCAGCTGAACTGTCTCGGAGGGCCCTCTACACCCCGGCTCTACACCAGGCCTCTGAGCTCCTGGGACATCTTGAGGAAGGGCAAGACAGGGTCTTCTCTGCTTAAGGGGCCGTTTTCCCCACCCAACCCACAGCCCCTGAGGGCAGAGGCTAGAGCAGCTTCACCACTGGGTAGGGCAGGTTGTGGGGAGTGGAGCTGTGGGTTGGGGTGCCAGGGCTGGCCGCTGCCTTCTTACCTGTACGAAGAGCTTGCCGCTGCCATGGCCCAGCAGCTCGTGCAGGCCCACCTGCACATCGAAGGAGGGCCCCTTCCAGAGGATGTACAGATCCTGCCAAGACAAGCAGAGACCTGCGCTGTCCACTGGCCGGCCCTGGCCACAGAGCCTGTCGGCCTCCCCTCCCCTGGGCCGTGGGCCCATCTCAGTGCATGTACTTGGTAAAGGCCGACTGTGCTCCACCCCACAGCCCATCTCATCCTTGCAACAACCCAGGACGAAGGGAGGGATGCCCCCCTAGTGTAACCCGAGAGGAAACCGAGGCTCCAAAGTCCGCACGGTCATGTGGTTGGGAAGTGGCAGAACCAGGACGGAAGCTGTGTGCTTTCCTCTCTACTGCTCTGGGCTGTCTGCCTTCCCAAGTCCGCTGAGGAAGGTGAGGCCCAGCCCCAACCCTCCAACTGCTGGCACCCACCTTGTCATCCTCCTCCAGAAAGGTGAGCTTCTCCCGCTGCGTGGCGTAGGCCACAGCCAGCACATTCCCCAGTGACACGTTCTTAAAGCCTTCCGTCTGCCTCAGGTCATCGTCTGGAGAAGGCGGAGAAGGACCAGGAAGAAGAGGCAAGGGTCAAAGGTCACAGACAAGAGGCACAGGGCAGTTTGTGGATAGTGTGTGTGTGGAGAGGGAGGGGCGACTCTAAAAGGAGGCTTCTGGGGCTCGGGGGCTGGGCCTGCTGACACTTACAGTTGGGGATGTTGATGCCAGCAGGGATGCCGGAGCCAGCAAAGGTGAGAACATCCAGGGAGGTGAAGTCGGGGGTGAGGAACTTGTCCTTCTCAAAGGCTGGGGGCCAGGGCAGCTCCTTCAGCAGCTGCTCTGCGCTCGCCACTAGCCGCTCAAACTTGGCACTCATGGCCTTGTTCACCACAGCTACGAAACCTGCAGGGGAGGGAGGGAGCTGTGGCTTGGCAGGGTTCCAGGAGGGCTCTCACTTCACCCTACTCCAGCCATCACGCATGTACTGAATGCCTACTGTATGCAGTCACCCTGGGCTGGCAGCTGGGGACAGCAGTGACCCAGGTCTGGGCCCTACTAGGTCAGGACCTGGACAGGAAAGCTGCAGCTGCACAAACCTGTCTCCCCCTCAGGCCCCTGGGCCGCCTGCCCCTTCTCCCTGGGCCTGGGTCTAGCGGCTCACCCCGAGCCCCAGCAGGCTGTGTGCTCTCCTCCCAGACTAATCTCTCCGGCTTTAGCAGGCAGATGCTCAGACTCTTCTACATCCAGCGGCCGGGGAGGATTAGGGCAGTCAGAGAAGTGGCTGAATCCTCAGGCTGGATGCCCTGCCCTGCACAGGTGGGTCCCCTGGGGAAGGGGGTGGGGGCCGAGGCAGCCTGCCACCAGCCTGGGATGACAGCCCCGGGTCAGGTCCAGTCACAATGTCCATCCTGCTTCCAGCCACTGAGTGTAGCAGTCTGCATCCTAACCGCACTGGTGCTGAGGTCAGGCTATTTGGCGCAAGGTCACACAGCCTGGAAGTGGTGAAGCTAGGCTTGGGAGGCACATGTCTACCTGGAGCCTGTGCCCTGACCAGACACCAGAGGCAGCACAGCAAAGTAGCTCAGAGCCAGAGTTTCCGGGTCACCCCCCAGCTGTGCCTCAGTGCTCACACCTGTTAAGTGAGGATAAACATCCTCATGGGGTGATGAACTCTAAATTAGTTAATATAGCTAAGCTTCTTACAACAGTGCCCAATACACTGTAAATGGTGTTTATTTACCATGGCTGTTGTTATTGTTATGGTTATGGCTGAGTGGGGGTGGGGAGAACCATCAGGGGACACTGGAAACGTGGACTTGGATGTGGGGGAAGGGACTGTGACTGACCTCCTCCTCCCCGAGGAAGTTACCTTCAAATTCTCCTCGGGAACCAAAGGGGTCACGGTAGCTCTCGATGAACCCGATGTAACTGGGGGAGAGAAGGGCAGAGGTGGAGGAGGGGCGGGCAGGAGGGGGCGGGTGGGGTGGAGCTGGCGGCTCACCTCTCCACGATGGGGCCTTTGTCCTGGATCCAGAAGCGGGAGCCCCTCTTGTGGGCCTCGATGGAGCCCTGGGTGAAGCTCTCTATATACTGGGCCAGCATCTGCCCCTGGTGGCTGTTGGCTGCATACACCTGAGGTGAGCAGGAGTCGGTCAGCCTTGTGTGAGGTCAACCCACCTCCACACCAGCTTTGCTGCCCAGAGGGGTCCTCAGCCCGCACACCTCAGTCCCCAGCCAGTCCAACCTTGGCTTTCTCCAGCTGCTCCACCACCTTCTGGAGGATGGGTGCATAGTCCCCTCGGGTCACCTGGAAAGGGCTTCCCCGGAATTCATAGCTCTTCAGCTTGGAAGTCATCTCAGAGTCCAGGGAAGGCTCTGGGGAAAGAAGGTGTCACTCAGAGAAAAGGCCAGAGTAAGAGGCATCACTCAGAGAAAAGTCCGGAGTAAGAGGCATCACTCAGAGAAAAGGCCGGAGTAAGAGGCATCACTCAGAGAAAAGGCCGGAGTAAGACACCTCCGCCAGCTTTTCCCCGTAGCACTCTTTCACTCTAAGATCTTCAATGGCTGCCTGTAGCCAACAGACATGAGTATAAACTCTCGTCTTCCAAAATATATATATCAGCCGGGCACGGT